GCATAACAGTATGGCTTTCTTAAAAAGAAATCGTGTTTTGTTAATTTAGTGTTTTTAGATGAGATTACCCGATGTCTTGTTAGTGGGATATCGGTAGAGATGTGATAGTTGGACTTCAGTAAGGCCTTTGATTCAGTAAATCATCGATTCTTACTTGAGAAGTTCACATAGTTTGGATTGCATTCGCAACTAATACTTTGCTTCCTGAATTCTTACGTGGAAGAACATTCAGAGTTAGGATCAGGAAAGCGAGTTATATTGTGGTCATTGCCTACAACGGTGTCCCACAAGTTTTGGTACTGGGTCCATTGTTGTTTCTTATGTTTATAAACGACCTGTTCGTCTTCTTGTGGGCCCTTGCTATATCTCCACAGATGACTTAAAGCTAGTCAATAGGGTTAATCGAGCAACTTTGACTAAGGACTTCATCCATGTGATGAATTGGTCAGGCCAAAGAGATTTATCTCTGAATCTCAATAAATGTCATCTGTCAAGCAATTGTGGTCATTGCAGTGTACTAATGAAGCCCGTGATCTAAGTATCATCATAGTGAATAGTTGTAAGCATTCGACACAGTGTCGCCGTGCTGCCAATGAAGCGCGAGAAAGGCAGTTTAGTCACAGGAAATCGAGGCGTAACACTAAAGCAGAAGTATTCTTGCCGTTATATAAAGTAGTAGATAGGCTACGTCTGGAGTACTGTGTTGAGGATTGGGTACCGTATCTCCACAGTGACGCCATGTGTTTAGAAAAGGCACAGAAACTGGCCACCAGGATGATTGAATGTCAACGATGGAAATCGTACGAGCATCGTCTAAATAGCTTAGGATTATTTTCCTTAAAACGGCACAGATTGAAAGAAGATTCGCTGGAAACGTTAAAGATCATTAAGGGCCTCAGTGGTATCAATCCTAACCATCTGTTTGAGTCAACAACGTCAGACCACTTGCGCGCGTATCGCCTGAAACTCAAACAACATAGGGCTCGTTTGGACCTTAGGGCGCAATTTGCACAAAACGAGTAGTTAGGTCTCGAATAAACTTTTGCTTGATTTAGTAGAATGTGGGAAGGTAGAGGCCTTCGAAAGGGGCTTAGCTAAGTGTTTTTCTAACCGTTTTACAGAGATACTGTAATTGTATCTAAATATGTAGTGTGTTCTGTTGCTGACACACGAAAGTGCAAATGTAGCAGTCGGGAAAGCCCCCGGTTCGCATGTGTAAAATTCAAATTAAAAGTATTTCATTGTACACCTAGGCAACCGGTGTGGTTTGTTAAACTGATTGCTGAGTTCGAATGCATGACTTGCTCATCGCCATTTTTGCTAGGCGCTCCTTTCGGTTACAACGCGCGAGTGCCCTGCGTGCTGTGTACGGTCCGTTCCCCGAGCCAGAACGTCGCCGGTGTCGTTCCTTTATAAATAGGAAACAGGGAATCTTTTACTGTAGGAATAAAACTTTCCCTGAAACTCCATCTGCCTTTTCGAATCGCTCTCCTGGCACGCGGAACAGGCTACTGGATAATTGGTGACTCCGACTCAGTAAGAATCTAAGCGCCAGATATCTCGAACTTTTCTTCGGTGAGTTCGTTCCATATATTTTTTTCATATTTTCCAGTTTATTATTGCATACGGTAGCCTATCCTTTGCGTCTTTTTTAAACCATGGAATCTGTAGACTCTGATGTAGAGGCTCACCTTAGCGCCACCTTTTTGGGATGTAGATCCTCTTTTGTGGTTTGCTCATTTTGAGGCTGTGTTTTATAACCACAGAATCACTCTCGACTACGCAAAGTGCAGCAAGCTGATGTCTTATCTCACCAATGAGATATCAATGCAGGTTCGAGACTTTACCATTTCTCAGACCGAAAACCGATATGATGCTCTCAAGCAAGCCAGGAGCAAGCGTGTTATGCCCTCTGAGAAAGTTCGCCTGCAGCAGCTTTTTAGGGATCTGCATTTGTGCGACAAACTGCCCTCAACCCTGCTATGAGAGATGCAGCAACTCTTTGGTTCCTCAACCATGGAAAAGACTATACTTCGCGAACTATAGTTAAAACGTCTACCAGAAAACATGCAAGCGATTCTTGCTATCGTGAGCTCCGTTTCGCCCACTCAACAATCCGAGACCAGAAAGATCAATGCCGTCACGTCCCAGGGTACTCTTATCACTGGTTTACAGTCAGATTTAGAAGCACTACAAACATAAGTTGCGACATTTAGTCGCCAGGTTCAAGAGCTTACTATAAACCGTCATCGTCATAGCCAATTAAATTTCTCCTTCAAACGTTCCAAGTCACGCAACAGGCAGTCTTGCTGTTGGTACTACCAACGCTTTGGTACCGCAGCTCGTTAGTGTGTGTTAGGCCAATACCCCTGTGGTTAGAATAGTCAGTTTGACTGCACGTTTGTATAGTGCCACTATAATCGATTCGCTCCCGTTATTCAGGACATGCTATTCCTGCCAGCAACTTTTGAATACGGTGATGAGTACTTTGCATAAGACTACGCCTCCATCCTTAAATAGTGCAGGTAGCAGGGAATCCGGATTATCGGCAAGAAAACGATTGAGGGCTACGATCGCGTTTCGGACCTCGGCCCTCGACGGAGGCTCTGAACTAACAGTCCACCGCTCGTCCCACATCACATGAGCAGGAAGAGGTCCGGGAGCGGTGGACCAGCTGAACTGATCTTGAAAGCGTTCCGCCAAAGGAGCCATACGGAGCTCCTTATTTTGTATTAGTGCACCCGCGCTGTATCTAATTAGCCCACTGACGCCTGATTTACTGGGACCAGTAGAACAGCTTGCAGTAATTGCTTAGTGCCCTGCCTCCTCCATTTCCTGAGCCCTACTGGTCCGCATGCTTTCTTACTAGTAATTAAGCACCACTTTGTTTGCACCTAATAGACCCTCTGGTCACATTGTGCTCAGAGTCAGCCGGGAGGTTTCCTCTGGACCCAAACACGTTCACCGACCTCAAGGACATCCAAGGACTAGTGCGGTGACCATTGATAGTGCCACAAGCAGATGCGCCGGCGTCGTGCATGGCAAACGAGATTCTATTCCACTGAAGCGTAGGGTCATTAAGATAAGGGAGCGAGAGGTTGGTATGCGGTGCGTTGGGACGGATCGAGCGCACAATAGGTATTCAATGCCGTTGACTTCGAATCGCGCGTCGCATCGGCATAACTACTGCAGATGTTTACTCTGTACTGAGGGCCTTAAAACCACACAGATCACCTTGCCCCGATAATGTGTATCCCGCTATTGTCAGGTCGATTGTCGGCCTACTCCAACTTCCTGACATTGAATTGTACAACGTGTCACTTCGTGAAGGGAGAGTACTGCAAGATTGCAAGCAAGCATTTGTAGTGCCGATCCAAAAGGGTGGTAACAAAGCTTCACCTAATAGCTACAGGTCTGTTGTTCTGAGTAACATTCTCGAGTATCTAGTGAAGAGCATTAGGAATAAAGTCTATGAACAGCTCGCTGCTTATAACCTGATAGGAGTAGAACAGCATGGTTCCGTCTATAGAAGTCATGTCTCACCAACCTGCTGTGTTTCTTCGATCAAGTAACTCGATGTGTTAATGAATGTATACCAGTAGAAGTGTGTTACCTTGACTTCTGCAAAGCTTTTGCATTGGCGAATCACCATTTTATGTTAGAAAAAATGACCTGGATTAGAATCCCTCCCCATGGCTGTCTGAATTAATTTATGGTAGGGCATTCCGTGTCAAGCTTAGTGATGTTACTTCTAGCACAGGCACTGCTCACAATGGAGCTCCCCAGGGATCAGTACTCGGTCCGTTGCTACCACCCATGTTTGCACATGACTCGCTTGCATTACTTGAAGGCCCTTACTATATGTTTGCTGACTACTTGAAGCTTATCAGCAGTGAAGACAGGGTTTTGTTATGCAGAAATTTTAATACGGATCTAAATTGGTAACATTTGTGCTACGAGCAAATGGACATCAGCAAACGTCAAATGCTAACCCCACGCGTTGAACCGCTTACTATGCATACTTGTAATGGGTCTCTAACACTGTAGCATCACACCGGAGCCCGTGGTCTAGGTGTCATCGCTAAGCATGAATTTAAGCATCAGCAGAGTGCAAACATGCGGTTACTAAAGCGCGGCAGGAGTTATTTGGTCGCAGCAGCGTTCTGAGTTTTACCAAGTTTTACCAGGTCTTTCTCCTAGTGTACAAAGCCGTGGTCACACCACCTTTAAACTACTGTGTTCAGGCCTGGGGAATCAATCTGCAGAAAAATTTCACTTGTATTGAGAATGTGCAATGGCTGGCCACTCAAATGATAGAAGGCCAGCTTGGGTTATCGTACGAAGATCGGTTAGTTGGTTTAGGTTTGTTTTCAATGAGAAGGCGCAGATCGAAAGATGACTTAGAAAAGACGTTCAAAATCATGAAAGATCTCAGTGATCTCGGGCCCACTGATCTGTTTGAACCAGCTATATCAGACAACTTGCGAGGCCACTGCATGAAATTAAGCAGATTATATCTAAGCTAGAGTTAAGAGATAGGTTCTTCACAAAATGGGTTTTATCTGCTTGTAATACACTTATTCCTGATGTATTAGTCTGCTAAACGGCGGAGGAAATCAAACCTAGCCTAGACAAACATTGGCTGGTCCTGTTCCCGGAATTTCTCTGAGCTTTTTCGCCGGCCCCTAATCTCATTAATTCATGAAAGTGTGTTGGTCGTGTAGCACTTGATTCTGTTTTCACTATTATAGCAGCAATAACATTATATCAAGGTACAGTCGGCGAAGTATTATTAATATATTACAAATAGATTAACTGCAACCAAAACAGCTTAAACATAAAACGTGAAACCGTATGTGCAAGTTGTACATTAAAGGCTGACAGAATATACATTTTTAGAAATATCCTAAATGAAATGTAGATTTATATTAGCTCGCGTAAACGGAGAGCAAAATAATAAAATTAATAGAAGCGCAATTTCTAAAAATATGCTTTCTTACTTTGATTTTAAACACGTCCACCTTGTCATCTAGGAAGGTAAGGACAGCATCAAGTGTTGTATCCTTTGTAACGATGAGTGCTTGCACCGATCGGCTCATTTAGAACACACAAAATGATGCAAAATCTTCATATCGATTTCGCTTACTAACTGTAGTCGACCCCTCATTATGAGAATGTATGTTGCAATATTCCTTGCAGAGCATCAAACGATGGCAGATTAATGAAAAAAATCCTTGAAGTCAATAAACGCGGGTTTAGAGTGAAATATAATTTGCATATATAAAGCAATTTACCACGTAAATTTAAAGTTTAAGATAACAAAACTTACTATTTATAATCTATCGTTTTTATCCGGCATATTAATAATATCATGACAAACCTAATCATAGTCGCTGTTTCATTTATTTCAGGAGTATCTAAATTTTTTGCAAGGTGGAGCACATATTATGATGTAAACGTATGTCAGGCCATATTAAGTCGGACACTTATATGATAACAAAAATTGCTCATGTATGAAAAAGTCAAGCCTGAATTTATTATTTCAGGCTTAGGCCGCGGGTCAGTTTTAATGTTATCGCGGGCCAATTTTGGACTCTTAGCCGGACATTGGAGGGACCAGGACTCTCACATCTGGCGGGAACGGGTTTGTGGGTCAAGATAAACCGGCACAGCCGGGAGTATAATTGTAGCGTAGGATACTGATATGTAGTTAAATAATTTGCAAATATCATAAGTAATCCAGTAGCGGATGTATAAAAGCATTGGGGTCCTGTAGCTTTTATAGTACCATTGTTTACTGTAACCTTGACATAACTTGACCTAACTTTATGGTTGTTGTACGGTCGTATACGTGTTTTTCAATTCTGCTCAGTTTTCCCAACTTTAAACATGGTGGTCTTAATAAAAACCGAAGCGGATGAAATCTTTGGTTCCTCGATTGATGACCCCACTGCAGTTTGCTGCAATTCTGCCTGCTCGAGACCAGGTACGGATTCATCTGGTGGTATGCAGTGTGATGTTTGCTTCCGCTGGTATCACAAAGATTGCACCGGCCTCCGAGCGAACCAGTACGCTATGCTATCATCCAGTGAAAACCCCCTGTTTAGCTGTGATGATTGCTGCACTCAAAAAGCGAAGTACCCGGCTATCATCTGTGCCGAATTTAAGGCACTGGCATGCAGATTCACATTGGTTGAGAAGGCGTTAGTCGGGCTTGCCTCGCTCGACTCTAAAGTGGACTTGGTTATGAATCACCTGAGTATTGCAAAGGAGGACTCTGTAGCGAACTGTCCCCTGCTGACAGTCCATCCCTTGATGGGTCGTTCATCTTACCGGACGCTCCAGTACACATTGAGATAGATGACTCATATGCCTCGGATGGCATTGTTGACCCTCCACAAACGGAGGGCGAGTCACGGGCTCCTGGGCGGGAAAAGAAGGGGCGAAAGATGGCAAGAAAAGTGCGCAAACCCTCCGCACCCAAACCGAGAGGTGTGAAGACGCTCAAGGTGCAACCACCTAAGCGGGAAACACCACCTGGGGATGCGATTCCCTCAGCTTCACCTAAGCTTGTGCAGGCAGGAGGTAAAAAACCCCAGATGTCTACATCGAGTGCTACTCAAATTGCGGTGTCTATTCCAAACACATCTTGTCTTCCAGGGGTACAGGTCGTGGAGGCAGGCATGGACGTTGAGCCACGGGCTTTTTCGCCTGCAGGAAGAAAGAGAAATCGGAACAGAACTGCCCGTACTCTTCAGGCAGGTTCGAAAAGCGTCAAGAATGACGGGACAAACAAGCTGGAGCCTAAGTCGTACGCTACAGTTGCTTCAACTTCGTCTGATAACTTGCGCCCAGTCTCGTTTCCTGCGGCTAAGCCGGTTGCGGTTCATGTAAATTCCAAAACCCGTGGGGTAAATACACCGCGTCGAGGTGATGCTTTCATGGATAGCAGTGTGATATTCCGTAACGCAGTGGAATCCACTGCTACACTTCCTGCCGAACGTACATTAGACGACCTACAGTGGTTTAAGATGTGCGGAACCAAACTTCTTCCGTCTGGGTTTCCCGGTGTTACTGTCAGGAAACTGACTAGATTGGGTAACGTCCCAGTTAACGCCCCAAACCCTCGACCGCGCTTACTTCAGGTAGTACTATCTACCCCGGAGGAACGCAACGCGCTGTTGCGGTTTGCCTTCAAATTGAAGGGTACTAATGTTAGTGTTCAGCCAGACCTCCCATTGGCGGATAGGCTGAAGCTAAAAGAGGCCATTAAGGACCTCAAAACCAGGCGAGCGGCCGGTGAACAAGGTCTCCGGTTGGTGGGTTTTCGGGTGGTCAGCCGGCGGTCTGTTTCCGCCCTACCAGTGCCAGTACTGGTAGCGCACGACCCAGGGCTGGACATTACGAGTACCTTCAAATAGTGCTAAGCAATGTGCGGAGCCTAAGGAATAAGATGTGCGAGATAGGTCTGCTTGTAGATGGGTCTTATCCCGATATACTTGCATTCACTGAAACGTGGCTGTCTCAAGACATCACGGACGCTGAAGTACATCTGCCTGGCTCCGCACTATTTAGATGTGATCGCTTCGTTGGCCGACAAGGCGGGGGCGTTGCGCTTTACGTTAGGTGTGAACTTGACGTTTCACGCACCTACATGTTTCAGACGGCAGATAAAACTGTCGAAGCGCTGTCGGTAGTGATTAACACTTCCTCAGCTCAACTTACAGTCGTACTTGTGTATAGAAGCCCTGGAAGTGCGTCCAAAGAGGTGCTTGACTTTATTCGCTCCCAATCCGCAAACAGGTGTTTGATACTGGGGGATTTCAACCTACCAGAAGTTTGCTGGGCGGATCTTTCTTGCAACTCGGCAGAAGGTACTTTCGGGGCAGATCTACTTGAGCTTACGCTACAAGTACCATTGTATCAGTTCGTGGATCTCCCCACTAGGTACATGGACGCCCAACTCCCGTCTATTTTGGATCTAGTGTTTGCCAAGTCACTAGACTTTGTAGGGGACATCACTTACGGCTCTCCCTTAGGTGCTAGTGATCATGTTTGTTTATCGTTCAGGTGTATTCTGACCAGGCGTCACCAGAGCATTGCTAAGCCATTTCCAAACAAATGGCGTGCTAACTATCAGGCAATGCGTACCAAGGCTGCTGGGATGCGTTGCGAGATCTCGGTGGTTGATACGGTTCAGGCGGCCTGGGATAAATTTAAATCTTATCTCACGGAAGTGTCTACTCCCTACATCCCGCTTGCGAGGAGAAAGGAGACACGGGCGCGGCCGCCGTGGATAGATACCACTGGCAAGCTCCTGCTCCAGAAGCGTTCTAGGTGCTGGAGGACCTACCGTGCGGCTCCATCAACTAGCACCTATGCTAGGTACCGCGAGGCTAGAAATAGGTGTAAACAACACTTAAGGAAAGCTCGGCTGGTGTACGAAAAGGAATTGGCTGACGGAGCTTCGGAAAATCCGAAGAAGTTCTTCGCTTATGTTAAGAGACGCTGTGGTTCAACTTCGGTAATCCCAACTTTGATGTGGGCTGATGGAACTCGTTCGTATGCGGACTCAGATAAGGCTCGTGTACTTGGGGAGCAGTATGCAGGGGCTTTTGTACGTGAGGCCGCGTTGACTAGCGTTGAATTTGTCCCCAGAGTACCTGATGGTTCTTATTTAGCTGAGTTTACTGTGGGGGAAACGCAAGTCCTTAAACTGCTGCAAGAACTGAACACTTCCAAAGCAGCTGGACCTGATTCAATTCACCCGAAGCTTCTGCATGAGTTGGCGGGGGAACTAAGTGGACCGCTGACGATGGTGTTTCAGAAATCACTTGACACCTGTACATTACCTTCCGAATGGAAGGAGGCTGTCATCTGTCCTATCTTCAAAAATGGCGACAGGAGTCTGTCAGCCAATTATAGGCCAGTTAGTCTGACTAGCGTCGTGGTCAAACTGCTTGAAAAGCTGGTGAGAGATTCGTTGGAATGTCACCTGAATAGATTTAATCTGCTCAGCAGTGCACAACATGGATTCCGGAAGGGGTTTTCGTGTTTGACTAATTTGTTGGTTGCTCGTGAAGCTTGGGCCGAGGCAGTGGACAATGGCCACGTAGTGGATGTGCTTTTCGTAGACTTCTCGAAAGCATTTGATAAGGTACCCCACTTGAGGCTATCACATAAGCTGAGGTCCTACGGCGTATCTGGCAGCGCCCTTCACTGGGTATCTGCGTTTTTGCAGGGAAGAGAGCAGTGTGTACGTGTGGGTCGCAGCTTATCCTTTAAGCAAGCGGTCCTTAGCGGTGTCCCACAGGGCTCGGTCCTTGGACCGATGCTGTTCTCCATCTACGTAAACCATCTCCCTGGAGAGCTTGGGGTATCATCCTTATTGTTTGCTGATGACCTTAAGCTAAGGAATGTTGTAAATTTCCCCGGGGATTCTGAGGCCATACAGCGTGCCCTGGACAGACGCTGGGACTGGTCTACTTTGTGGCTACTGCCCATAAATCAGACTAAGTGTTCCGTCCTTCGTATAGGAGCAACTTTCCCGCCTTCGAGCTACGTACTCGGTGGGGTCGAACTCCCCCTCGTCTCCAACCAGATAGATCTAGGTGTCGTTCATTCCTCGTCTTTGCATTCTGGTGACAACTGGACGAAGGCCGCTAGTAGGGGTTTCAGAACGTTATGGTTAATACGCCGTTCTTTCGGGGCCTTAACTGCCGACATATTTGTGAAGCTATTCTCAGCTTTCGTTCGGCCCCATCAGGAATAAATACATAAATAAATAAATATTTTATTCTCGACTATGCGAGGCACGCTCATGGAGGCATGATCAGATATGTACAACGGTACAAACATTATAATGCAATTGTAACAGTAACGCAGAAAATTGTTCATATATCCATGATTGGAACTGTAAAATGTTGAAAATGCGAAACAATAAGTTGGCTGTCATGAGGTACGGGACCTCAGCTAATAAGAGATTGAGAAACCTGAATGATCCATTGAAAGGTAATGGAAGAGCCCGCACACAAGGAAGGAAAAGGGCAACGTATGGTAGGATGTAAAACGACAACAGTATATACAGATGTGGAAGTCC